TGTGAAGATCTCTACCATATTTCATTTCCATATTTTTTTTATCTAACCATTGATAAAATAGGTCCCATATCTTATAGTATTGTTTATCTTCTTGTTCTCTAATTTCAAATATCAATTTGCTCATTTCAGCACCTTCCATTATTTTCTTAATAACTTCATCCTGTGTTGGTATTTTCTCATTTTTCCAATTTTTAGCAAATACAATTCTAGCCACTGTTAATACATTCACAATCAGATATCTCAACTCTCTATTATATATTTCAGGTACAATCCCCAATAAAAAAATATCTGGTTTAAAATCTATGTATTTTTTTTTTGTCATTTTTTCCAACCATGTGTGAATTTTAGCCAGTATCTTTTGGCTTCTACACATGTCCACCACATATGGTAATATGAACCTGGTATCTGATGACATTTCCAACATTTTTCAATTTTATTCTTGAACATTCTAGCTATTCTCGTCGGGGGTAGATGCCACCTGTAAAACATCTTCTACAAATTTTCTTTATATGCAGTTGACATTGTCATTTTGTAATTTTGCGACCATAATTTTTGCCATTTCTCTAACTCAATTCCATGTCCAAATTTTTTCCCCCAAGCAATCATTGTTTCTTTAACTTGTTCTTCTTCCAACTTGACCTCTAATAAATATCCATATAATTTTTTAATTACGTTTTCATCACTACCTTTAAATTTTTTATCTAAATTAGTCAAATTATTGTAAAAACCTTCTGTCTCAAAATCTTTATTATATCTAGAATGTATTTGCAAATAGGAAAACCAATTCATCTTTATACCTTGTTCTTCTAATTCTTGCATAGATTTAAGTTCACCCTTTTCATTCAATAATTCACTATATCTAACAATTTGTTCCTTTCTAAATGTTATTGAATATGAGAATGCTTCAGTAGTGTGTAGATAGATATGTGTGTATCTATTTTGTGCGGGAAATTCAAATGTTCAGTGAATTCTGATTGGTTCATGGTTGCCTCTGAAAAGTATATAAAGAGGACTGTTGCCTGTGTTTCTTAGCTGAAGTCTCACCCTGAATTAAAGAGCTGTTATCACTAGCTTGCTTGTGCCTCTTGTTATTCCCGCGCTTCAACAATAACCAGACTGGAATTTTTAAATAATATTGTCTTTTGATCTTCTCCCAGTTTAATAGCATGGCCTCACGTATAAAATGTCTTCTAAAATACCCCTGCGTTTTGTTCCCTTGTACCATAAAAAAGCGTGCCATCCCAACAACAAATCATGTCCTTCTAAAGTCAATAATCTAGTATTTCTTAACATTATCCATTCCTTAATCCACATCAGACTTGTTGCTTGATAGTATAATTCCCAATTAGGCAGGCCAAATCCTCCTCGTATTCTAGCATCTTGCAACAATTTTAGTTTTATCCTCACTTTTTTGCCCTGCCAAATGTATATCAACACTATTTTATTTAAATCTTCAAAATACTCTTTCCCCAACTTAATTGGGATTGTCTGGAACAAATATAGGATCCTGGGTAATATATTCATCTTAATCTTTGATATTCTCCCTATTAGTGATAGTTGTAAATTTTCCCACTTTGCCAAGTCTGTCACTATCCGTTGTTTGAGTTTATTATAGTTGTTCTCTTTGAGTGTACTACATCTTGCTGTCAGGTATATCCCCAAGTACTTAACTTTATTTGTGACCTGCATCTTCAATACTTCCGCCAGTTCTTCTTTTTGTTTTATTGACATATTTTTGCCAAAATCTTCGTTTTGTCTTTATTTACTTTCAAACCTGCTACTTTTCCATATTCTCCTATCTCATCTATTTTGTAATTGAAGATGGTTTGTTTAAAAAAAAAAAAATTAAAAAAAAAAATTAAAATTGCAGAAAAAACAATGGCTACCAACTTGCCTTCCATGGAGGACCTGTATACTGCAGGAGTCAAAAAGAGTTCTGTGAAAATATCTACAGACCCCTCACATCCTGGACATAAATTGTTTCAACTTCTACCCTCAAAATGAGGCTATAGAGCACTGCACACCAGAACAACTAGACACAAGGTCAGGTTTTTCCCAAACGCCATCACTCTGCTAAACAACTAATTCCCTCAACACTGTCAAACTATTTACTAAGTCTGCACTACTATTAATCTTCTCATCGTTCCCACCACCCATCTCCTCCCACTTATGACTGTATGACTGTAACTTTGTTGCTGGTATCCTTATGATTTATATTGATATTGATTGTTTCCTGATTGCTTATTTGTACCCTATAGAATAGGTTTATTGGCCATGTGTGATTGGACACACAAGGAATTTTTCTTGGTGCATAGGCTCTCAGTATACATAAAAAGAAAAGATACGTTCACCAAGAATCATTAGGTAGAACACTTGGTTATAATTATAGTCATTAAGTGTTGTACCTTATGATTCTTGATGAACGTATCTTTTCTTTTATGTACACTGAGAGCAGGGGTGAAATGCTCCCGGTTCGGACCGGCTCGGGCGAGTAGGTAGCGATGGCGGCGGGCAGTTCAGAGAACCAGTAGCAAAAATATCTGCCTCTGCCCCCCGTGCCCAGCTGAGCCGCGCGATCATCAGAGCCTGAGCTAAGCTCTGAGGATCCAAGCTCTGATGATCCCAGCTGAGTTGCCTGCTAATCAGGCAACTCAGCTTGGATTGTCAGATCCATTTAAAAGAAAAAAAGCTTCTCCCCCCACCCAGCCTCCAGCTTGCTTACCTTAGCTGCTGATCGCAACGCCTGCCTGCCTTGCTTTGCTTGCTGTAATATCTGCAATCCATTGCATCAGCAAGCAACTGAATCTCCCTACCTGCAATCAAGCTTATCGGTGAGCAGCTCTATGTGCAACTTTAAGACTTGTGGACTTCAACTCCCAGCAAAGCTGGCTGAGGAATTCTGGGAGTTGAAGTCCACAAGTCTTAAAGTTGCCAAGGTTGGAGACCCCTGTTCTATTGGGTAAGTTTTTAAAGCTCCCCTTTGGGAGCTTTAAAAGAAATAGTTAATTGGGTTTTTTTTTAGTTGTTCTGTCAGCGTTCCAAATTAGGCTTTCTTCCAGCGCTGACATAACAAGTTGAAGCAGAAAGAGCGGAAGCTTGATTTATTGCTGAGATGAACTTTTACCTAGTTTTGTTTATACAGATAGGGTTTCCTGGGAGACGAGGGTGGGGGCTGCATTCCTGTGAAAAGAACGTGCCGGGATGTAGAGATGGATCTGTATGATGGCCAATGGGACGTGGGGGCTGGAGAGCGGAAGAGGAGGGGGTTGGAAGGAGGGGCCAGTTTGGCTGCAAATTTGAGTCAGAAATGTCGGATTCTGCTATGCTTAAAAATAAAATGTTTCATTAGACAGCTTGCGCTTGAGAATGAAGTTTATTCAAGATAGCACCGAAACCTGACATGTTCTTTCTTTGGACCTAGCCATTTAAAGTTTAGGAAGTTTTAAATTTAGCTGCTTTTATATAAAAATAAAAATAAATTAAAATAAAATAATATTTGTGCAGCTTTCTGAGATTTAGTGTGTTTCTGTAGTGTTTCACTCTAACTACACAAACACACAAAATCTCACAAAGCTGTATGTGGAATTTTGTGTGTGTAAAGTGTGAAAGTTGTTTTTTTGGGGCTTTTTGTGGCTGTGTGAGGTTCCTGCTTGTTGCAGGGGCCATTTTGGGTCTAGCACAGCTGCTTTAACATTGTGGGTGAGCCAGTTGTGTTGTGTTGTGTTGTGTGTGTGCAAAGTGTGAAAGTTGTTTTTTTGGGCTTTTTGTGGCTATGTGAGGTTCCTGCTTGTTGCAGGGGCCATTTTGGGTCTAGCACAGCTGCTTTAACATTGTGGGTGAGCCAGTTGTGTTGTGTTGTGTTGTGTGTGTGTAAAGTGTGAAAGTTGTTTTTTGGGGCTTTTTGTGGCTATGTGAGGTTCCTGCTTGTTGCAGGGGCCATTTTGGGTCTAGCACAGCTGCTTTAACATTGTGGGTGAGCCAGTTGTGTTGTGTTGTGTTGTGTTGTGTTGTGTGTGTGCAAAGTGTGAAAGTTGTTTTTTTGGGCTTTTTGTGGCTATGTGAGGTTCCTGCTTGTTGCAGGGGCCATTTTGGGTCTAGCACAGCTGCTTTAACATTGTGGGTGAGCCAGTTGTGTTGTGTTGTGTTGTGTGTGTGTAAAGTGTGAAAGTTGTTTTTTGGGGCTTTTTGTGGCTATGTAAGGTTCCTGCTTGTTGCAGGGGCCATTTTGGGTCTAGCACAGCTGCTTTAACATTGTGGGTGAGCAGGTTGTGTTGTGTTGTGTTGTGTTGTGTGTGTGCAAAGTGTGAAAGTTGTTTTTTTGGGCTTTTTGTGGCTATGTGAGGTTCCTGCTTGTTGCAGGGCCATTTTGGGTCTAGCACAGCTGCTTTTACATTGTGGGCGAGCCAGTTGTGTTGTGTTGTGTTGTGTTGTGTTTTGAAGGTTAAAAAAGGGCAAAGAAGTGACATTGACTTGGCCACGCCCACCCAGTCACCTTACCACCAAGCCCCGCCCACTAATTAAGCCACGGCCAAAGAACCGGTATCAAAAAAGTTTAGATTTCACCCCTGACTGAGAGCATATACACCAAGACAAATTCCTTGTGTGTCCAATCACACTTGGCCAACAAAAATTCTATTCTATTCAAATCCACCAGGTGGACCCGGATGAAAGCATGCAAGAGGTTTTATGCTCTTCCTCCCGTCACTCAAAACTGTCCTGCTTCCCCATTGGCTGGAGACTAGCAAGCTCTCGACCTATCCGGAGCTCCTGTTCAACAATATGGCCTTATTTTCCCCAGCAACCCACTGTCTCCATGGCCTGGTGTGATTCTGCATCACTAACTTTCCATTGTTCTTTTGCATAAATTGTTTATTTTTGAAATGTTTCTGTTAAGCTATTGGTCAGAAAGCCCCCCTCTTTTCTTTCTAGACTTTTCTGAACCACTTTGTTCACTCTAAGAACAATACCATTTTAACTAGTTTTTCAAAAAGTTCATTAACTTTCTAGTTCTTTATTTTATTTATTTATTACGCAGAAGCAAAAGCTGTAATGAAACATTATTTTAGAAGCAATACTTCATATCTGACAATATCAGAAGCCCATACCTGCCACGGCTGCCTTGGAGCCCCCAACCTCCCTTCGCCCTCCTTCCTTCCCCTTCTCCATCTGGAGGAATAAGCGGCATTCAAGGCCTGGACCAGAGTCTGAATCATACTGTACACAAGGGGATAATTTGTGAACCTTCTTCTGTTTTTTTCCTCCTGGGTCTCCAGTGGGGCTTTCTGGGTGCATCTTCTGCGGCCTTTGACAGAAAAGACATTCTTTGAAAGAGAACAGCGGAAATAAAGATCTTGAAACTTTTCTTCCACAAAGAAATGGGGTTCAAAGGCAGAATCCATTGGCCTTTCTTTTGCCAGATAACCAAAGTTCCAAATACTATGGATGTATTTGTAAAGTCTGTGCTTTATCAAAATTAATCTTCCCAAAGCTGTACAGATCCAGACTTTCCCTTCAGTGGATCCTGGCAAACGCATAAGTGTTAAATGGAAAGGCAGAATTCTCCCCAAAATGGTAACATTTTCTATGAAGTGAACAAAGACGTTGACTTGTCTCCACTTAGAGAGGGAATCCCTGAGGGAAGCTGTGTATCCAGTTGTTGAGAACAGTTGTGATATAACCACACAAATTCCATTCCTGACAAGCATAGGAATAAAAATCCTCATGAAATTCTCTCCCTTCTCTGTGTCTGAAGCAAAGAGGCCAATCAGGGTCCATCTGAAATGGAGGAGCAGTTGGACAATTGCTGGGTACTGGAATCCTTCTTTGGGGAGCATCTGGTGGAAAAAGGGGAATTTCCTTTTATCACTCAGAGCCTCTGAAACAAGGTTATTACTGATCTGAAAAAGCAATGAAGAAAGCTGTGTTACATTGAGGGTCAGATAAAGTCCAAAACTTTATTTTTTAATAAATTCAACTTGGTATTGATGAACAAATTAAATAGATTATTGTTGATTAGCAATTATGCCATATCAATAAACAGAATATTAAGCACTGTTAACGACACTGTATATAAAAACGGAGCCCAAGAAACAAATTAAAAAAGAATAAGAATAAAAAACATATTTCTTTATCACAACTTATTGCAATCAGACCCACATGTCTATGGAGATTCTCAGTCGTCCAGGTTCTTCAGCTCTGGATGAGAAGCAAAAGGTCTTCAAAGAAAAACCAGAAAGTCCAGTTGCCTCTTGAAAAAAGCACCTTTGGGACAATCAGATCCAGATGTGCAGGTGTCAAGTGAGAGTTTCCTTCCAATAAAGGGCCCTATTATAACTTTAATTCTGACTGAACAGCAAAAGTGTTGCTTTAACACAAGTTTCCCAATAGGTTGTTTGTCTAATGTGCAGTCCAAGACTCTCATCTCTCTCTTTCTTATGCAGTTGACATTCAATATTCCAGATTCTTGGTGAAGCAATATTTGTTTATTTATTTATATACCACCTTGATTATTTTTGGGCTTTTCTCTAGTTACACAAGAGATAGGGAGACCACAGCTCCTAATATAATTTGTCAGATGCATAATCCAAGAGGGCTTTATTTGAAATTCTGCATCTTCTAACCCAGAGAACTTGGGGACTCTGTCAGGTTCCAGAGGTTTAATTGTACACTAAGAAATTCATTATTGAACGTATTACTGAAATAAATGAACTTTTGCATGATATTCTAATTTTTCGAGTTTCACCTGTATATAGGTGCTACTATTGCCAGCTTGAATACAACTGCATATGTCAGGCGTTATGTCTATGTGAAAATCAACATGCCAATAGTTTATCCACAAATAGGATATTTTTTGAATAGCTGAATAGCTGGGAGAAAATCCTCTTCAATGACCTTATTGCTTTTCAGGCCTTGTATGAGAAATTTGAACAAGAACATAAGAGAAAAAAACATAACTGACATGTTTGCTAATATGAAGAAAAGCAACTCTTTAATTCCATGGAGAAGATATGGTTAGATCTATTGCTCATCCACCATTCACTTTTCCAGATAGAGAAAAACACACACAAACCTGTGGGACTTTGTAAGGTGCTGCTAATGTTGATGCCTGGATGGAGATGTCCCTGTCAGCTGCATCAAGAAGAGCCAGGAGGTTCTCCTTCCTTCCACAGCCGTAGTTGGGGACATTGGCTTCTCCAGTGGAGAGCATGTCCAGCAAGGCATCTGAAGTGTGTAAAGTATTCAAATAGTTGTCATGGATGTTGTAGCCCAGTGTGAGATTGTGCAGGAGCTGGGAGTTCTTGGTGACCCCTTGAATGTTGAAAATGAATAGTAGGGTGTATATAAAACTAGAAGAAAACGTACTGTAGAAAAATGTTCAAGTTATTATCAACAGTAACAACAAACTTTTTAAAAGAATTTATTCCTTTTTGCCTCCATAAACCTACTGAGTCTTAAGCCAATATTGATCCAAAACCAATAATCAGTTATAGAAACATGGGAATGGGCTGGGCAGAGGCAACTACAACTGTTTCAGTCCCTCCTTTAAACAAAATGAATTCAACTGATGAACTCAGGAGTGAACGGGGAGAGGAAAATAATCTGCATTGCCTTCAGGTTTTTTAACCCCATCTTTGGATTTGAGTCTTTTCTACAAAATAAAAAAGAGGCAAATTATAGAAATCAAAATCATTCAGGAAATTAGACAAGTCCTATAATATAAAAGTAAGTGAAATAAGAAGAAAAGAAGGAGAGTGTTAGGAGGGGATGCAGCTCCATCACCCTGAATGACTTACGCATGAGAAAGTATAGAAGGAGCACTGTGGAAAGGCAACATTATAGGTGATAATTGTGTTTCAGTTAAAACTATACCAACGAGATGGTCTCCTGGTCTGTAAAAGCTCAATGGTGTATTTTCATCCTGGTGGTCCAAACTCAGCAGGCATTTCCTTCCAAGCTTCCCAGAGACTGGATGGGACACCAGCAGCATCAGAAGCAGAAGCAGGAGGTCCATAATTCATGGAGCTTTATTAATCTTCTTCCTGTTTCTAACACCCACAGCAGGAACAGTTGGAACAATTCAAAACACTCTCAGAAGATTGAAATGCCAGCGACTTTCCTGATATAAACAGAGAAACACTCAGCTTCACCTGGAAAGGAGAGAAACGTACAATCAAGAGCACAGATCCTGCCTGTCCCAAAACTTGTTCCCACAGAGCTTGACAAATTTATGCTTTTCTGATACAAGATTCTTTGCTTATGGCTTCAATCTGCTCTCTCTATCACAGGTATGGATATCTCCAAGGCCCAGATAATCATTATTAATTACAGGGAGAAGCAACTTCTCCTCTTGGGATCCTGAACTTCTTCTGGGCTCCATGTGCAGAGGAGAGGATGGAGAAAAGCTTGTTTGTGAAAAGCCACAACTACACTCCTGGGGTCAATTCCTGTCGTGGTTGTGGTCCTTCCAGTCAGGACGTGTCAGGAAAGGGATGCTGGAGAAAGATAGTCCAATAACAAGGGAATTGACCTCTGCTGTCCTTCAACCGGGTCTCTTGTCTCCAGGGACTTGCAGGGGAAGGTCACCCAGAAGTATGGAGTTTGGTGCCACTCTAGATTGGTGACCCTTAACTCTCGTGCTGCCTTTCTTCTAAGGCCGAGGAAGCAATCAGTCCCCTTGAATTCTGCCTAAGGTGAAGAGTGGGGCCTGTTTGGGATTTTCTTTCATGTCAGAACTTCATAAATTGGAGCTGATTTTAAAAAGGGGGACCCCTCTGACTTTCCAATCTCTGAGGCTGTGGGGTGAAGCCCCCTTCCCTAAAAAGCCTCCGAGTGCTTTGAAGCTGCTCTTGGGGCACCTGAGTCCCTGGTTCATTGGGATCCATTGTTGACGGATTGTGTCTCTTCTCTGGATGAGGAAGATGGAGACGTCCCCCTTTGCCCAGAAGGGAGAACTGGGGAGGGGGCTGATCTGAAGGGAGAGGAGGGTCCCCATCCCAGGTTCTCCTCTCAGGGCCTGGCTAGGAGGTCCTGGGGGGCTCTGGGTGGAAGGCCAGGCGGAGGCCTGGGAAGGGGCTCCTCTCCTCCCGGAGGGTCTCTGCTGGGTCTCCCTGGAGCCTGGAGGGGCCCAGAGGGGAGGGGGCCAGAGAGAGACGGGGGCCCAGGAGAGGCCCAGGGGAGGGGGGCAGGGGCGGCTGGGGCCGCTTTCCTCTCAGGGAGGCTGGGGGGGGACCTTTCCCCACACTGGGCGGAGGAGAGTCTGGGCTGAAGAGGAGCCTCGCAGGAGGAAGAGCCTCTCCGGCTTCTCTCCCATGGTCTCCATCCAGGCTCCCACCTTCCTCCCCCCTGGATCCAGAGGCTTCGGGGCCCCCAAAGAGCTTCCTGGGCCGATCGGCCAGCAGGTCCCCCCTGAGGAGAGAAGCCAGGATGGAGGCTCTGAGGGGGGAAGGGAGGCCTGGCCCTTCCTCCCCCCTCGGCTCCCCCGGCTCTGCCTCGGCCTCTGCCCAGCAACGGAACCAGAAGGAAGAAGGTGGAGGCTTTAGATCCTCTGCTGATGGAGGAGGAAAAGAAAAAGTTTATATATATATATATATATGTTAAAAAAGAGGGAAAAATCCTTCATTCCCTGGTTGCCCCCCAGTGTCCCATATCCCCCTCCTGCCCCCGTGAAGTCAGGGAAAAGGGGATGGGGGGTTGGGCCTCCCCCCCCTTGGGGGCCCTTCAGTGGAGGTCATCTGTCCGAGTGTCCAGTGCAGGGCCTCCCAGGGCAGGTGGCTCAACCTCAGCAAAGGCCTCTGGACTTCAACTCCCAGAATCCCCTGTCCAGCACTCGGGGTCCTCTTTCCACGCTTTAGCTGTCCCTCACACTGCCTGTAGGGGGCAGCCTACAGTCCGGCCTTTCAGCCCCAGCTGGCCCCCACAGGCAGCGAGCAGGACAGCTAAAGCAGGCAAAGACCCTCCATTTTGTGGCCTCTTTTTTCCTGAGCCGATTCTCCCTCCCTCCATTTTGAGGGGAGAAAAAGGCTGAGGGGAGATTTTCTCTCCTCTCCAGCCAGGAGTCGGGAAGGTTCCCCAAAGGGGGGGAGGGAGGTTGGAGGGGGGGAGACCAGCAGCCCCTCCTGGTTCTTTCAGGGGAGCCCCAGAGGATCCAGGGCCGGAGGGGCCCCCAGAGGTCATCCAGCCGGACCCCGGCCCAAGCAGGAGCCCCTCCGCCCTCCTGGAGGTTTCCCTCCGGGGCCTCCGAGCTGCCTGTGGGCCCTGGCTGTATTTCAGAGGCCGAGGCCTTTCACGAGGAGAGTCTCTGCTCCCCATGGAAGCCCTCAGAGGAGAGAAAGTTTAGGCCTGGATGGCCTTGAACTAGGCCGCCTCCCTCCCTCCCTCCCTCCGGACCTCAGCTTAGTTAGTGCAGAAGATCCTCTCCTCCCATAAGGCCCTGCCTGTTCCTGCCCCCTTTGCCTCCAAGCGCCATATTATCCCCAGGGCTCTCCTCCCCTTCCAACCACAGGCCGTCCCTCCCCTCCCCTCCCCTCTCGACTTCAGCCCTAAGAATAGGAAACGTCTGGAAGTCTCTCCCTGATCCTCTCCCTTTTCACCCTCCACTGCCTCCCCTGGACCCCCCCCCCACTTCTCCAGAGGTCCCTAAGGTCCCCCAGCCCCCCTCCCCCTCCCCTTCACCTTCCCTCCCCCTCCCCTTCCTCCTCCCCCTTCCCTTCCCTCTCCCCCTCCCTCTCCCCCTCCCTCCCCTCCTGCTCCCCCTGCCCCTCCCCTTCCTCATCCCCCTCCCTTCCCCTTCCCCCTCCCCCTCCGACCATCCCCCCTTTTCTTTTATGTACCCTGAGAGCTTCTGCACCAAAGACAAATTCCTTCTGTCTCCAATCACACTTGGCCAATAAAGAATCCTATTCTATTCCTATTCCTATTTCTTATTCTATTCTATCCTATCCTATTTGTACTCATTTCATGTGTTTATGGCTACGTTTTGCTATTTATTTCCATTTATTTTGGCCATTTTATAATGTCCATGTCTATGTTTATACTGATACTTGTTTCCTTGTACTTGCTGACAAATTAAATAAATAAATAAAATAATAAATAAATAAAATAATAAATAAATAAGCGAAGGGGGGTTGGTGGGATGTGTGAACCGGATCAGAGTTTGGCATTCAGGGAAAAGAGGTGGGATTGTGGCAGAGGAACAGAGAGGCGTCTTTAGGGATGGGGGGGGTTGGGGGTTTCAGTGATTTCCCACAATTTCTGGACAAACCTTGATAAGAGACTTGCAGAGCTTTGTGGTTGTGTGTTCAGAGGATGGAATTGGTGACTTTGTATCAGCCGGATCTCCAGCCTGGGATTCTCCTTGGATGCATGCTTGTTATCAGCTGCCATAGTAACGGGGGGGGGCACAGCATTTGGGTTGGGGGGCTGAGCTGGTGAGGTGGAGACCCATCTGAACTAAAAGGGAGGTTTGCTCTCATGAATGACTGCGCTGCTGAGTGGAGTTGTTTACACCCAGTCAAGGCCAACCGTCCTAGGACTCCAGGTGGACGAAAACACATGAAGATGGGCCCCACACGACACTCTGTGGGACAGAGATTGGACATTCAGCCTGGGTCCCTGGTGGGGGTGGGGAGGGATTTGGGGAAACTTTCAACCTGTAACTTTCATGCCTTTCGAATCAGATCTTGCCTTGCTTTTGCCGCTACCATCTCAAACTCAGTAAAAGGACCTCTTCTCTACTTCAATGGAGTCGGGGGGGGTCTTTCTCGGGTTTTGAACGGAGGCAGGCCTGACACTTTGATTCCCCTCCTCCCACTTGGAGCCCCAGAGATGGCTTTGGATGCTGGTTTCCAGTATTCCCAGTGAGGCCGTGGCTCAGGATACTGGGGCTGCTCCCCAGAGCAGAAAGGCTGGGCTTGAATCCCATCAAACTGAAGAAGGGAGAATGTGGCTGTGACCCTCCCTGGGTTCCCTTCTCTCTCTCTCTCTCCTGCCAGGCGTTGGGAGGAAGAATGGAGGCTGCTGCTTTCATGAGGCTTTTTCCAAGTCCTTTGCTCAATGTTGGCTTAGAGAGTTCTAAGAACCAACCAGGATGGCTTCCAAACCAGGATCAGGGTCTTGGGGTTATAAGTCAGTCCAATTAATTGTGGCACTTCTGATGGCCATAACAAATCACGGTTTCTGCATTATGCAATCACTGGTGGTCTCTTCAGGTGTCTGTTGTTTTCCAAAATGGAGGCAACATGTGGAGAGTTGTTGGCCTGCATCCGTGTTTTTCAAACTTTAAGATGAATGGACTTCAACCCCCAGAATTCCCCACCCAACAATGCAGGGACTTCATCATGCTGGCCAGGAAATTCTGGGAATTAAAGTCCATTCATCTTAAAATTCCAAGTTTGAAAAATGCTGGTCTACATTCCTCCCTTCTATAAGGAGTTAAAGCCCTGCACCAAGAATTGGCTAACTCACACGTTGCTCAATAAGCCAGACACAATTTTTTCCCTCCCTCTCTCTCCGGGCAACCCCGGATCCCCCTTGGAAGACCCAGCCCTGCATGGCTTCTCCCCACAGGAGCCTCTCCTGGAAAGACACGGAGCCCAAGTGAGGCTGGAGAAACCCCGGGGGTGTCTATGTTGTCTATGTTGAAGCTGAAAGGAGCTGTTTTTTCTTGCTATTTGCTTGCAAGGGGGTAACTGCTGGGAGGCAGAGGCCAAAGGGTGGGGGCCAGTGGGTGAGCAGGGCTACATTCGGTGTATAAGACGCACCTAAATTTTCACCCCCTTTTAGGGGGGTAAAAAGGTATGGCTTATACTCTGAAAAATACAGTAGTTTTTCATTAAAGTTGATTTTGTTCTTGGAGTCTGGCCACACTATTGCATCAGCCCTTTTGTGCGATGCCCTTGAGCATTAGCTTTCAAAATAAAGTAAATTTTGGTTCCAACTCAACAGGCAGCTATTTCAGATCTGTGGATTGCTCCAGGATTAACTGGCCCCCAGAGTTTTGTCTTTCATCACTATGCAAACAAATCTCAGATTTATTTGTTTCTTCAGCCACATGTACCATGTATTCCCTCCGGGGCCACTTTCAAGCATGGACCTCCCAAACGTCTTAATTCTACATGACTGATTTAATTTCATCTCTGCCCCTGTTATTATGAATGACATGGGGATTATTTCCCTTTCATTTCCCTCCAGAGAATTTCCCAACAATCTCCAAGTCCAAGAACTACTTGAATTATCCAGGGATCCCTCCTGAGAGGGACAATTATGGAAAAAGTTTCAGCTCTGCTCTTTAGCCGAATCCTCCAGGGGAGACTTTGGGCAGAGAAATATGGAGGTTTGGGACAGGCAGAGTCTGTGCTCTTGAATGTGCGTCTCTCTCCTTTCCAGATGAAGCCGAGTGTTTCTCTGTGTTGAGAAAAAAGCATCTGGATATTCCACCTTGTGAGAGTCCTTTGAATTCTTCTAATTCTTCTTTAGAAACAGGAAAGGGATTCATTGATTCACGCCATGAATTATGGACCTCCTGCTTCTGCTTCTGATGCTGCTTTTGTCCCATCCAGTCTCTGGGAAGCTGAGAATGAAATGCCCGCTGAGTTTGGAGAACCAGGATGGGAAACCATGGAGCTACTACAGACCAGGAGACCATCTAATCAGTATAGTCAGCAGTGGAAGGGAAATAATGCATATAAAGTTGCTTTTCAACGTGGCTCCTTCTCTTCAGCTTGTTTTCCATGATCCGTAAGTCATTCAGGTTGATGGAGTTGCACTCCCTCCATTCCAACACTCTCCTTTTCTCTTTTCTCTTTTCTCTTTTTTATTTTTCATTTCTTCCTATGTTGGGGATTATGTCTAATTTCCTGAATGATTTTGATTTCCATGGCTTCTCTCTTTTGTCTGATTTTGTGAAAGAGACTCAAAAAGGGGTCTGAAAAAAAGCTGAAAGGGCTGCAGATTATTTTCCTCCTTCAGTTCAATCCTTAATTTATCACTTGGATAATGAGTTTTATTTAAAGTAGTGGTGGAATCAGTTGTAGTTGTTGTACCTCAGCCCATTCCCATATTTGTGTAACTGATCATTGCTTTTGGATCAATGTTGGTTTAAGGCTCAGTAGGCTTCTGGAGGATTATATATATTATATATAACAAAAGTATTTGTTGTGGCTGTTGATTATAATAACTTTTTTTTTCAATAGGACTTCTTACGAATTTTATAATTGCTTAGTATACATTTTCAACATTCAAACATTCAACAAGAATTCCCATCTCTTGCACAATCTCACACTTGGCTACAACATCCATAACAACTATTTGAGCACTTTCCACACTTCAGATGCCTTGCTGGACATTCTCTCCACTGGAGAAGCCAATGTCCCCAACTACGGCTGTGGAAGGAAGGAGAACCTCCTGGCTCTTCTTGATGGAGCCAAGAGGGAGATCTCCATCCAGATGTCAACATTAGGAGGCACCTACAAAGTCCCACAGGTTTGTGTGTCTTTTTTCTCTCTCTGGTAAAGTGAGTGGAGGGGGAGCAATAGATGCAATCATGTCTTCTCCATGGAATTCAAGAGCTGCTTTTCTCCATATTAGCAAAAACATCAATATTTTACCCCATTATGTTCATGTTGAAATTAATCATAAAAGGCCTGAAATGCAAGCAATACATTCCCTGGAGAAGATATTCTAACAACTATTTGACTGATCAAAAAATATCCCTGATTGTTTGGGCCTCTATTGGCATCTTCATTTTCACAGATAAATAATGCCTGCCCTATCCAGTCGGATTGAAGTTGGCAATAGTAACATTTTATCTATCTAAAAAGGGGAATAAAAAGGACTCTACCAATTATAGGCCAATTAGACTAACAGATATTGTGGTTAAAATTTATGCCATGATCCTCTTAGTTAAACTTGGGAAAAAATGCATTCCTTTCAGAAGAACCAGAAGGTTTTAGGTAGAATTAAAAGCTAAATAGATATTATAAGAAATAATGCATAAATTAATAATCTAATATTGGCAACAAATTTGTCTTGAAATATCTAATCTATATCAGTGAGGTAAAACAATGTTTGCAGTTTTCTAGATGTTAGTGCAGCATTTGACTCAATAAACAAAGAAATCTGATGGAGAAAATGTTTTGCCCTCAAAATGGAGCTCAGCCTGTTGGCCCTGATCCAAGCCCTTGTTTGAGAGAGAGATTTGGTCTCAATGGAGCCGTGAGAAGAAGGATCTATACTTACCAAGGGGGAAGGGAAAGATGCATATTTGAACCCTTGTTATTCAGTATAGATATGAATGACTTACTAGGACTAATGCAGGGTCAAAAAACAGATCAACAAATGACTAAATTAGGGGACCAAT